CACAAGGTGCAGACTATTAGGGATTGGTCGACACACCGTATCCTGGCGTTCAACTCGGCAATGCGCTGGTTGCAGGCTTCAAAGTGGGATCTGGTCAGCCGTCGCGAATTCCATGGGGTTACTGACAATTTGTCATTTCTTAAGGTTTTACAAACTGGTGAGCGTAAACATACGTCCGAAGACATTCGGTGTAGATATTCACACGACGTAATAGGTTATCGTCTGGCAAGCGTTCTGCATATAAAAAAGACGAGATCACGAACCGGATAGCAAAAGCTCGAAGTGCTTTTGCTAACCTTCATCACCTATGGCGGCGGCGCGACATTACTCTCGCCCTGAAGGGTAGAGTGTACAATGCAGCGGTACGTTCGACCTTACTGTACGGTTGCGAAACCTGGCCGCTTAAAGCAGCGGACCTGAAGAGGCTAGTTACGTTCGACCACCGGTGCCTTCGTAACTTAGCTCACATCTGGTGAGACCACCGCGTGAGCAACGAGCGTGTCCGACACCTTGTTTATGGCACAGGAAAAGGAACTGAACGACTCAGCACCGTCATTACATGCACCAGGCTCCGATGGCTGGGTCACGTGTTGCGCATGCCAGCCCACCGACTTCCACGACGTGCATTGTTTGCTCACCGGGGATGTGGATGGAAGAAGAGGAGAGGTGGCCAAGCGATGACTTGGTCAAGAGGAATGAGTGCCTTCACTTCGAATCTGGCCTCGGTTGGAGTGCCACGGCTCCCTGGTTGGGATCCAAAAGACGGTGAAAACGTTTGGCTGGATACACTTGTTGACATGGCTAGGAGCCGACCTCAGTGGCGTTCGTGCTGTGAGTTTCTTTGTCCCTCCCCATCCCTTTTAGGCTCCCTTCCACCTACGATCTCATTTCTTAGCGTAAAACATAATAATTTCTCTTTTTGCCTAGTAGCCAGCTGGTAGCTTACCGGAACAATGCGTATCCGTTGCTGGTAGCTCAGCTGGCATGCAACTTTTGTATTTATATTCCTTTTTCATTTATGTATTGCGGCACAGTAGCTGAGGTGTTTCCCACCACTTGCTGACGTGTATAATAGTGATGAGCATGCATATAAAAACCACAAATATCTTTTTAACAACTCCGTGACGTGGCGGACGTGACACCACTAAATAAAGTCACTGCTCCTTACCTCTCCCTGAGAGGCATTGTACTTCAAGGGTGCGTTGTGCTCCTGGTCCTTCATGGACCGAAAAGCGTATGAACCATCTAGTTGGCCAAACCCCCGGTTTCCAAGGTCCTGTGAACGCAACCGTCTCTTACTCCACCGAAGCTCCAACTCTTCTTCGACCTGGTTCTCCATTCATCCTCGCAGTGTTTAGTGTTCGAACTTGGATGCAGATCGGATGACAATCATATCTGGCCCGTACTCTTGAAACGCTCTCGATAGATATCCGTTGCCTTTCAGATACCAGCTTACAAGACTCTAGAGCCGTCATCAGAATGGTCTCACCGGTAAACCTGGACACCAAATATGACTTGAGGCTTTCCGGAGACCAGGTTGCCGCCTCCGGTCAACCTGGTGTTGGGGTTGCACTGAGTGCCAGGGCTGGATCAGCTCTGCTTGACTGGATCCCAGTCAACAGTCGGCTATGCGTAGTCCGATTAAGAGGTTCATGCAATGTAAGCAGACGTCGAGACGTTAAGCGCATCTTGTTTGTCGTCTCCGCCTACGCTCCTACAGATTGCAGCCCGGATGCAGTCAAGGATTGCTTTTACCAGCAGCTACATGAACTTCTGCGTTCCTCCAAAAGGACTGATACAGTCATTCCTGTCGGGGACTTTAACGCACGGGTGGGCCGCCTTCCACTAAGCGAGTACCATCTTGGGGGTAGTTTTGACCTAAGTGGCAGTTGATCAGAAAATAGAAACAGACTGCCTGCTCTTTACTCTGATCATCGCTTGTCTCTTTCGAGCACTAGTTTTCGGCACTCGAGGAGACACACTGCTACCTGACGCCCGCCATCACAAACGCAAAAGTGCTATCATTGTGACCACATATCAATCAGCTACAGATGGCGCGGAAGCGTAACGAACTGCCAATCGTACTGGTCAACATAGCTTGACTCAGATCACGCACTGGTTCGTGCTAAGATTTGCATGCGTTTCGCTGGATCACCAAAGCGCGCTCATTACCGACCGGATGTCGCAAATCTACAAAACCCTGCGACTTTGACCAGGTACTAAGCCTTAATGTCAACATCGATTGGCTAAAGTATTGACGGTGACCTCGATTCGCAGTGGGCGCAGATCAAAAATGCCTTAGTTTCCGCCAGCATCGCCATTTGTGGAGTTGCCCTTCACCCACCGAAGCATTGGATTTCTGCCGTCCCCTGCTCGCTGATGGACAAACGCCGCTTGATCCTCTCGGAACCCAGCCACAGCCAATCCCTGGGTCTAGAGATGCACAGAAGTCTGCAAATGGACCGTGAAGCTTGATGGTGTGAACGTGCTGGGGAGGTGGAACTTGCTAGTCTCTCCAGTAATACCAGAAAACTTTTCCATTTCATTCGAATCACCGAAGGTGTTCAATTTGGCATAAGTGAAACAATATACGAAGAGGATGGCACCTTAACTACCAAGCTTCAACGATGGTTAGAGCGATGGGCCGAACAGTTTTGTTGGCCCCCAGCTCCATCTACTATCTCTGGCGCTCACACTGGTGAAGAGTGGTCTACCCCCACAGATCCTCCCTCTTACCAGGAAATCGAGTAGGAGCTACACCACATGAAGCGTTATAAAGCCCCTGACCCTGACGGTCTCCACCAACTCTATTTAAAGATGGTGGTACTTCGCTGGTTCGAGAACTCACTGTTTTGTTCTCGAAAGTTTGGGCGAACGATGAAGTTCCATCAGCTTGGGGCGATTCGATAGTCGTCCCCATCTTCGTAAAGGGCCTGCGCACAATCTGCTCCAACTACAGAGGCATAAGCTTAGTCTCCGTCGTTTGCAAGCTGCCAGTGTCCAGCATACTTCGCAGGCTATCCCTAACGCGCGAATTGTTGCAACGAGAAGAACAAGCTGGGTTTCGCTCCGGTCGCTGCCGTATCGCTCAAATCTTCACACTCCGCCAGATTCTCGAGCTCCGCCATGTGTATTAGAGGCAAACGATTGCTATGTTCTTGGATATCCGTGCAACCGGCGATTCTATCGATCGGACGGTACTATGGCACTGCCTATTGAGGAATGGCGTCCCCGAGAAGTTCGTCTCCATACTGCGCGCTCTCTATGGTCTGACCTCGGTCAGAGCTAGGGCTTATGGAAAGCTTTCATCTTCTTTTGTGGTCTCCAGCGGAGTTCGACAAGGATGCCTTATCTCTCCGTTCCTATTCAATTTTGCCAGTAAGGGCAATTCGTTGAGCTCATCCCAGGTATTCGAGTTGTTGATTTGGATTATGCTGATGATATCGTCTTGCTGGGTGACGATCCACACGCCGTGCAACTTGCACTAAACCGTTCAGCGATCGAAGCATCAAAGTATGGTTTGTACTTTTCACCATCCAAATGTAAGGCTTTCTTTCAAGACTGGCAGTTGACTGTGCCTGTACTCATCCTTGCTTGTGAGACACTGGAGGTTGGGGAGAGCTTCGTCTACTTGGGAAATTGCAACACTGCTGGCGGGGCTGTTGGAGACGAGATTTCGATGCGCATCTCAAGATCACGCACCGTATTTTCTAGGCTGAGGGACTTGTGGCGTCTCCACGACATTCGTTTTTCCATCAAACGGCGGGTCTATTATGCAACTGTTCGTGTTGTGCTCTTGTACGGTGCGGAAATAGCGAGTGAACCACTCAGCACCAGTATGTCACGCACCAGGCTCCGATGGCTGGACCATATGTTGCGCTTGACTGCACACCTACTCCCCCATTGTGCGTTATTTGCGCGCCTGGGGTCTAGATGGAGGAGAAAGTGAGGAGAACAAGAGATCAGTTCGTCGTCGGTTGATATTTGCTGACTGCCGTGCTGGGGACCGAAGGACGATGAACACGTTTCCTCGGACACACTTGCTGACATGACGAAGAACCGGCCCAAATGGCGTTGGTGTTGTGAGTTTCTTTGTCCACCCCCACTCCCTTTGATTTTCATTATGATTGCATCCCTTAGAAAATGAATACTATGATATTTAACATAACATTACTTGCTTTTTGAATTTGTTGTGGTGTAATTTTTAGTAGCTTACCTTTTTTGTATTGCGGTACATTAACTGAGGTGTGTTTTTCTCTCTCAGCTAACGCGTATTGAAGATGCTATGCACTAATCTCAGAGTGAATAATCAAGCGTAATTTAGCTTCGTACGACCTTGACTACTGGTGCCAAGAAACTGCTATCTGATAGTGGAGGAGACCCGGACAAGTCTTCGTGGTAATGCAAGGCGCAATAACTAATGCAATAAAAAGAGCAGTGTGAATGTCTACTACGCGTAGCTCTCAAGTTAAGATTGGGGATTTGCTTATGAAAGATTCGCGCCGGCTTCGGATCAGTAGCAACTCCAACCTGCATGCATTCAGGATGTGAAATGTCGGAAGTGATGTGTTGTACGGCATGAACTACCCACGGTCACCTCGCATGGACATATTTCTAACGACTATTCTGAATCACCATGGTAAGTAAATCTGTAGAATGCTATTAACCGCAAACAAAAGCCAACAGAAGCGTACACGATTTTCAAACAAAATGATCAGGAATGCATGTGAAGGCACAACATGGGTTGCGAGTAACACCAATTTAGACTTGTGGCAAAAATAAATTCACTAGTTTGCATGAGCAGATACTGTTCTGAAATCATCTGTAGAGAACACATGTGATGCAGAGAAAGATGCTAATGCGAGGTAGATTTAAGATAGCGACGACAGATGATTTTGACTGGCAAATTCCAGTCGATATGGAGCAGAAAAATGAGTACATGGTAAGCGGATAAAATACAAGACATCAAGTACAAATGGCATAATTAATGAGGCATTTACTGTGTTTGCTAGACAAACGAGGAGATCGGCACCAATTTCGACTGTCTTGAAGGCATCACTACTTGTCTGAAGAAAATATAAGGATGCTGATCAAACAGACCAAGGTTTTGTGTATATTGGGATACCACGAGTTATTCGACTTCCTGGGTTGGGTTGTCAGTTCTTCCCAAAATTCCTCGAGAAATGGTATCAGCTCGTTCTCCTTAGAGAAGTAAAGTCTTCCTCCATGTCGCCACATCAGGTTAGCCAGTGCAGTCTGACACATTACAGCAAAGTTCGCTTGTTTCCGAGAAAACACTTCCTCATCATTAGAATTGCACTTTTTGCACATGAAATGATATGCCGTTAGGAAGGGCAGGGATTTCCTGTAACAAATACTGTGACAACAGAGTTGAATTACCCGATGTTAAACGCAATGCAATCTAAGTGAAACCACCGATAACAGACACTGCATTGAAAATCGGGGATACTGAAATCTCTAGGCTTCATGCTGAAGGTATAAAAAGTACAAGCAAACGCACCAATAGCACTGGGGTCCAGATGGTACCTCCAAATTAACCGTTACGGAAGTGTATTCATCACGCGAAGACGAATCTTCAGGTTTTGGATAAGTTGTCTTGTCTTCCAACACAGCCATCAGCGAAAGGCACTAACAAAGACAGAGATAAAAACTTGAGGGAAAGCAAGGGAATGACCAGGGCTGATTTAACGTCAAAGAATAGAAAACTGCTTTAGTTGCTGGGACCACGTGTACTTGATCCGCCTAATTCAATTACAAATTCAAGTGGGACTGGAACAGCAGGGTAAATTCCCGTGGGTGTTCCTTCCGTGGCGCGTCGTCGATCCGGGGTATTATTCATTCGCAATAACTGGAAACTAAGAGTCAGATCAGCACGCGCGAATCACGCCACGGTCAAACAATTAATACCCACGCGATCTGCATTGGCAGTCACCGCCGCACCGGCCACGTAAAATAAGAAACAGAGGTACAAAAGTAATAAAAGCGTTAAAAACCGAAAATAGATTTAATAATTCAATAAAGCGAACAAGCTAAGATGTGAAGGGGAAAGTTAGGAATTGTAGGCCAAGGGCATCATGTCGGTGTTCGGACTCTTTCACCGTTGGTGACAACACCACATGTCCGGGCAGTGAATTCCGGAAATCCACTATTCTGTGTGATAAACGAAAGTCCACTCGGACTCCATCCGATCAAGGGTTGTGTAACTTCATCGAGTGACCTCAGAGAGATGAAAGCCGAGCTAGTTGGAAAAGCCGATAAATCGGGCCCGATTTTACCCGTAAGTATACGATAGGTCAAGATCAGGTTGCCTCGATGGCGACGATAATGCATAGAAAACATTCCCAGCTCAAGTAGTCAGTTGGATAATAAATGTTCCCTAGTCCATGAACCGTTTTGGTTCCAGCTCTCAACATTCTCTCCACTGACATCCTGTTCGTGACTAAGCAGGGCGGACATGCCTGGATGCAGTGTTCCAAATGTCGCCTAACAGAGGCTGAGAATAACCTAACAAACATATCGCCTGTGATGGTCTCGAATGTCTTACGGATCACCCACAGCATTCTGAAACCTTGGTACGTAACTTTTCCCCAGTTCTCACTGGACTTCAGTTTTGAAGACAATGTGACACCTAGGACTACCAGTTAGAAAACACACTGCAGTTCAATCCGGCCAAGCATGTAACGCGTTTGGGGTCCATTTGACCATAATCTTAAGACGGAACACTTTGCATAATTTATGGGCATCTGCCACAGAGATGTCCAGTCCCAAAGGTTATCGAGGGCCCGTTGCAGAGGCTGGGGTCTATCGAGTTTGGACACTGTGTGCCGAAACGTTGTAAGCTGCAAACATGAGAGACGGTACCCCAGCAGTTCGGGCAACTCATTGACATACAGAGAAAATAACAAGGGACCAAGCACCGATTCCTGCGGGACTCCACTAAGGAATGACTGATGGAAAGACTAGACCCCACAGGAACATACATCTTTCTCTTTCAGAAATGTGGAGATCCATTGTAGAACACACACTGATATGCCATATGACCGAAGTTTCAAGGAGTGGCGAGAATGCGGTACAGTGTCGAACACTTTGGAGAAGTAAATAAACAGTATATGTACTGCATGACCCCGATCCACAGCAACCGCCCAACATTCGCGTGCAACTATCAAATTAGTCGTGCAGGAGTGACTGTTGCGAAAACAGTGTTGGAGTGAATGGAGCAGACCAAATGCCTGTAGATGATTTTTAATCACATTGCTAACTTCTCTAATAAGTTGACCAGTACGCTTGTTAAATGAACCGGTCTATAATTGGCAGCGAGACGCTTGTTGCTCTTTTGAAAAGTCGGGCAGATGATAGCATTTGTAGTATGCGTTCGGTTGAAGGTTCCGAAGGCTGCCGTGTCCAGGACGTACATAGGTCGTTTTAGACCGAGAAGACGGAAAGGCAAAAGAAATACTTCGTGGGCGGCTGGACAACCACCTAGTAAGAATCGGATCTGGATGGAAGAGGTGCGCCCGTGTTACACCTCGTGGCGAGCTGAACGGCATTGTCACAGCTGCTGATGGAGGACCGAGCGTGAGGTGACTGGATGAATGGCATGTAAACAAGTATGAGCCATCGCAATGAGACTGGACCTGACCGTGGTGCGATGGTTTGTGTGCCTCAGCGATCCATTGAGCTATGCTGGGTGGTGCTTTTGCACCTTCAGAGTCACTCATACCAGATTGGTCAATGGTTAGAGGTCAGACAAACTCAGCCTCCTGGTCCTCCAGGTTGGGGGTTGGAATGAGGGTGGCACCTTATTCCTTAAAACGGACTCCTTGTAGTTCAACGCCAAACCCGCTGCCATGCGGTCAGGTTTTTGAACCAAAGGCTTTGGTTGAGAACCCTAATCGTTCTCCTGTCTAGGCCTGGGCAACCTGACAGTATCCTGCCCACGCAATACAATGAATCACACTTCAAACAAATCGCTGATGCTCTGGCCACCGCAGAGGATAATCAACGGTGCCCTATCTGCTGCATCGAGCAGGGTGGATAGGGGTTTGGATGCTACTGCTCAAGCCTTCCCGTCTTCTTATTCCCCATCTTACGCTTTTTCACTCTTACCGTCCCCTTCCAACTTCACTAATATCCCCCCAGTTTTCAACCCCCCGATTCTTGGTCCTCCCCCAACATACTTTGCTAGGCATTTATCGTCTAGTTTTAACTCACATGTGAAAGCGGAGCGTCACTCCTCTCCTGTCGACAAGCCCATGTCCAACCAAGCGGTCCATTCCAGTTCATCGGCTTCCATTTGGAGCCCTCGATCCTCCTTCAGATTGGCATGCCTTAATGTAAGCACACTACTACAGATCGGTCAACAGGCAGCACTTGCCCGAACATTGGAGACCCTCTCGATCGATATCTGCTGCTTATCGGAGACCCGCCTGCAAGACTCGAGCTCTGTGCTCACTCTGCGATCCCCTTCAGGTGACGCAAACAGAATTTTCTCATTGCGCCTATCTGGTGACGATGCAGCTTCGAGCACCGGCCAAGCTGGTGTTGGCATTGCCCTGAGTCCCCGGGCTGAAGCTGATCTGGTTGATTGGATTCCAATCAGTAGCCAGATGTGTGCGGTACGATTGGCTGGCTCCTTTAAAGCTTCGAAGTCGCGCGGGATCAACAAGTGTCTATTCATCATCGCTACCTACGCGCCCACAAACTGTAGCGATGATTCGGTAAAGAACGACTTCTACCGCCAACTGACACAGCTCCTTCGCCACAGAAGAAGCACGGACACTGTTGTGCTGGCGGGGGATATGAACGCACAAGTTGGAAAGTTGTCCACTGATGAAATGCATCTGGGCGGTCAGCACGGTGTAGGCTCCCGTAATGATAACGGTGAGCGGTTACTTCATTTGTGTGAGGATGCTCCCTTATTTCTTGCGAGCACTAATTTCCGACACAGCACCCGCCGGAGGGTGACTTGGCGCCCACCAGCCTCGAACCAGCCATGGACGCAGATCGATCACATTGCTATTAGTTACCGCCAGAGAGGCTGCATCCAGAATTGTCGCTCGATTTGGAGCACATGTGTGGACACCAATCATGCACTTGTATGTGCTGACATGCGGATGCGCTTTGGAGGACGCCCACGACGACGCTGCGAGCGCATTGACACATTGAAGTACGCTGACATGCGAGTTGAGTACTCGCTCACTGGAGACAATTGATGGTTACTGGTCACATGTTCGCCAGACCTTACTAGCAGCAGGCAAATCCTCATGTGGTATGTCGAAAAGCCCACATGGACATTGGGTCTCTTCTCGGTCTCTGGAACTTATCGACGCTCGCCGGCATATCACGGCTGGAAGCGAACACAATGAAACTCGCAAAGAGCTCCGGGCAAAACTCCGCGCTAGCCTGAAGAGAGACCGCGAATCTTGGTGGTCTCATCGAGCATCAGAGATGGAAGTGGCCGCTGCCCTTGGCAACCATCGTAAGTTATTCCGTCTGATACGGGAAACGGGCAGCAGGAGACCTGGTGTTAGTGAAACAATTTGTGATGAGAGTGGACAGCCTAGCCATAATTTGTCAAAACGTTTGGAGCGTTGGGCTGAGCATTTTGAAAAGCAATTTAATCGGCTAGAATTGTTCGATTCGCCGGTCACTGATCGCCCTGCTCCGTGGGCTGTCCCTTTGGATCCACCCTCTTGCTCAGAAGTCGAACGTGAGATCGGACTGTTGAAGTTGAACAAAGCCGCGGGACCAGATGATCTTCCTCCAGCCCTCTTCAAATTCGGAAACTCTGCTCTTGTTGATGCTTTACATGAATTACTAGTGAAACTGTGGGAGCACGAGATTGTCCCAACCGACTGGAGCCGCTCCGTTATTGTTCCATCTTCAAAGGCGGCTCGCGCTCCGAATGCGGCAACCATAGAGGAATCAGTCTGATCTCCATCGCTTCCAAATTACTCGCCTCCATAATTCTTCACAGACTGACTGGCGCTCGTGAAAGCCAGATTCGTGAGGAGCAAGCCGGGTTTCGTCGTGGTCGTGGCTGCATTGACCACATATTCACTTTGCGTCAGTTGTTGGAGCACCGCTACACATATTGGCGGCCCACCGTAGTCGTGTTCCTCGACATCAAAGGTGCCTTCAATTCGGTTGATCGATGTGCCCATTGGAATTGTCTACTCAGGAAAGGTGTGCCCGAGAAATATGTAAATATTATCCAAGCATTATATGCGCGTAGCACGGGCAGAGTGAGGGCTTACGGCAAGCTGTCGCCACCCTTTAATATCTCCAGCGGTGTGAGACAGGGATGCCCGCTGTCACCTTTCCTCTTCAACTTCGCTATTGACGAAGTCATGGAGATTGCATTTACAAGACATGACTTGGAAGGTGTGGAGCTACTCCCAGGAGAACGACTTCTTGACTTGGAGTATGCAGACGACATTGCCCTCATCTGTGACAGCTCCCAGACGTGCCAAGCTGCGCTAGACAGATTAGCACTGGCTGTCAGCTGCTTCGGGCTTTGCTTTGCACCACCGAAGTGCAAAGCGCTCCTCCAAGATTGGCAGGGATCGCGCCCTGCGCTGACCCTTGGTGGGGATCAGCTAGAAGTCGTTCAGAAATTCAATTACCTG